CTACAAGTTCTCTAACTGTTTAGGTAAAACAAGATTAAATTTGAATTTTTTACTTTTTTTAAACAGTCTTGATTCTTTTACAGGTTTCCAAGAAAAGGTAGAACATTATAGTCACTAAAATGTAACAGATGCATTTAAATAGGCAACAGAGACAACTTTAAATTACATAAATTTTTAATATAATTTTGTAATGAATGCTGTAAAAGGTTCAAAATGGGAGGGCAAGAATATTTTTTTTTCAGGTTGTTCGTTCCATAAATTTCATGCATTCCCTGAGCAGTTGTTATTCATTCTTTTTATAGATCTGTCAAAGAGAGCAGAAGGAAAACGTAATACTAAAAGCAAACATTTTGGTTTTAAAAAATCAGGTAATACACAAATTCCTGAAGCTATAGCTTTGAAAAGTACTAGCTTCCCAGTTGTCTAAATCTGGTCAATCGAGTGCAGTCAGTTTTACCAGAGCTTCCTCTGGTAAAAGCTTGGTCATAACAATTCACGGCAACTGGCAGTCAGAAGCCCTGGTGCTGTATCCCCCATCTACTAACAATTTACTATAACCCTGCCAGCGCCACTGATCTCTCTGCATTGCTTTCCCCACGCTCCTTTGTAAACCACTGTGTAGAGCCTGGAGAAAAAGTACCGTGCAACAAATGTAAAATTTTATGCCACGTTTGGCATATGATTAAGACACTTTTGGGAGCAAACAGTACAAATGTAACAAATACAGGAAAGAAATATGCTATTATAAACCCTCCTCCTCATACTTCTCCAGGATAACTGTGAGACTTCTCAGTCTGGCAGAAAGTAGGTCTGAGCATCAGATTTCTCTGGATTTTTAGAAACAATATTAAAATACAGTGTTTGGTTACGATATTATCCTTCAAGCAGAATATAATTTTCCCATCAGTACTGGTTTGCTCTGTGTACAGAAGGGCTGTCATTGGAACTGGAGACAAAATTGCCATTAATACGAGCAATACAGGAGCCGTCTCACAGATACTTTTGCATAGCTTTCAGTCATACTCAACGTGACAGGGAAACACGCAAAATCCATCGCTGAGCATCAATGCCTACAAATTTTAAAAAGCCAGTTGTATTTTTAAACATTTTTAGTGTATGGTAGGGAATATTTTAATAAATGAGGGTTGTCGCAGCATTTTCAAAATGCTACCAGAAGCTCACACGTAAGAATTTCACTGGGATCTCTTTAGGTATCTCTCTAGTATGACCAAGTCCTTACCAAATTGCTGTATCTGCATGGCTTGGATTGAGAAGGAGGTATGGATTCTCAATATTCAAATAAATGTTCCCTTTTGGAAGAGCTTTTCCTCTGTTGATTGCAAAAAAAGTTGCTTAACTCTGGTTGTTTCGAGCTTTTTTAAAACTTCGCCAGACCTCCACATTCAGAAATATTAGCAATTTTCAGGTGAGCCCTTTTTTTTTTTTTTTTTTAATTTAAGCTCCAGTATTGGCATCTAAGCAAAATCTTCAGATATGAACAGTGCTTAGCGTGTAGCAGTTCTCTTTTAGAGAAAAAGCACTGTTACAGGCGGAGCATTTTGTGGGTTTTTGGTTTTTTTTTTTTTTTTTTTTAAATCTACCACTATGGTCCTAGATTCTGATACAACGAGACTTGCAGATACACAGTTACCATCGTTACACTGCGGGCATCCACTGGATGAATGTGTTTTATTTCTTCACCGTGGCTGTTAAATTATTAGCCTGGAGCTCCGCGGCGCGATGGACGAGACCCAAAAGTATCGGGCGTCACCGGAGGAGCAAAACCGGGTGTAATGGCGCTCGGCAGAAGTGGACGTTCCGTTTTGTTGTTGTTCCTTTAACTTAAATTCTATGGGGGTGTCGTGTCCCCACCCCCTGCCCCCCGAGGCTGTGCTGCCGCTGCCAGCGGT